ATATACTATACATAGTGTATATATAGTATATGCTATATATAGTATATACTATATGCTACTAGTAATACTATTACTAGTAGTAGTGATAGTATATGTATATACATATATAGTTTAATACCCTTCTTCTGTCTAATGCTCTCTGCTGGCCTTTACCTAATCAGATCAGGATTATTTATGAGTTAGGCTGCTGGCTCAAGTAATCACGTTATATATTAACTTCACAGAGAAATTCACCCTCAGTTTGTCTTTTCGGAGTAACCACAAATGCTGGCTGTTGTACAAAAGTATAGGTGTTATTTTTCTAGTAATTTCAGTCAAACTTGGAAGCAAGTATTGACCTCAGTGTATGTGATGGTTCTGAAATTATAAATGCATTAACAGCATGAAGCTATATTACAAAAGGGTGTTGGCTACAATTACAGTATGCCCTTACTAGAGAGCAGCACTAACTATTCAGTTTCATCAGGTCATCTGAAACCTGTTCAAGGGGCTCTCTTTTTTTCTAAGCCCTCTAGGAAAATGATCCCATGGACTAGTGCATTTGCTCATTTCTTCCTCCTATAGGGTAACCTGTCTGTGGCAGGTCCTCCCCTGTGTAGGTAAGAAACTGGACAAACTAAATTAGTACATCCAGAAAACTATCGTGAAAAGCTAATTATTTGAAATGTAGAAGTTGATAAGTTGAGGGTGGTTATATTGAAGTATCCAACAGGTTTCTTGCAGGCATGGAGTATAGGGAGTGAGCCTGGATAGAAAAGAAGGCAATTTCACCCCAAGTGAAATTGAACATGTCCTCCTATTATGGACATGGGCAACAAACTCGCTACCTTCATCAGTACTTGCTTGTGTCTGTTGTGAATACAATCACAGATACTTTTGTACTATGTTATAGTTATGGCAGGTGTCTTGAAACGTCATTTCTACTCATTATTTTAAATAGTCATTAAATCACTGCCAGATCCTGTAGCTTTAAAGTGTTGATAAAAGAACACATATATTGCTGTATCACTAATTTAGGTTTTTTAATATTTTGATGGTTGCATTGGTTCCCATAATTCTGTATACAGTATTGTACTTTTTGAATTCAGAAACATTTAAGTTCTTTTTTTTTTTTAAGTTCTGAGAAGTCTTTGAGCTTCACCAGCCTGCCGGTTAGGTGTAGGGGTGCTCAGTGGTAGCTCACTTGCCTAGCATGCATAAGGCCCTGGGTTCAGTCCCTGGCACCACCAAAAAAAAAGAGACAACCTCATGCCATCGTCAACTTTCACAGAGTTACAGAACATCATGTCTTTTTCTTTCTTAGTTTCCAAGCCAGCACCTTATTGGGAAGGAACAGCTGTGATAAATGGAGAATTCAAGGAGCTGAAATTAACTGATTATCATGGGAAATACTTGGTTTTTTTCTTTTACCCACTTGATTTGTAAGTAATACATGTAAATACTGCAGCATCTAGTAAAACCTCCGTCTTCTATCATTCACTATTCAAGAACATCAAATAGTAAGAAATTTCTATTCGGCTGTTGGTTCTTAAAAAGGCAAACTGAAATAAGAAATTAAAAAAGATAGCATCTTAGATGGAGAGTGAAGTTGGCAGATGGGAAGGATTTGAGAATGACAGAGTAAGAGACAAGAGAAGGAATCTTAGAATTGCCCAGGGCTTGGATTAGGATGAGAAAGAGGGGTAAGTGGAGAAATCCTTGGATTGATTAGAGAAGCAGAAACAAAAAAGAAGCCAGAAGAGGCAGTTAAAGAAAGATGTCCACATGCAGAGTGTGGTGGTGCATGTCTATAATCCCAGCACTTGGGAGGCTGAGACAGGAGGCTCACCTTGAGTTTGAGGCCAGTCTGAGCTGCATAGTGAGTTCAAGGCCAGCCTAAACTGTAGTGAGACCTTGTCTCAAAAAAAAAAAAGTCCGCAGTGCTAAGGCCACAAAGATTTCAACGGGGGAAGAAAAATTTGATTTAAGGGATCCCTTTTAGGAGTTGGCATTTTTAAAGCAGGCTTGAAGGCCCTGTACTAAATCTTTTGTGATATTTTCTGTAAAATGTGATGCTTTGTGAAAACTGCATTTTATAAGATGCTGTAATACAGTGTCATTTATGTCACTGGATTAGAGATCTCACATCAAGGAGGAGACATCTGTTGCTATCTTAAGAGAGGAGGATCTTACAAAATGAAACTATCAAACATTTCAATTAAAAAATTACCAATAAAAAATCTTACTGAGGAAAAAGGATAACATCTACCATGTATTTCAGAGTCATAACCCATTAACCTCAGTCTCAGTACTTTAGACTTGAAATCTACACAGTTGTGCTCTTTGGGTTCAATCCCCAGTGCAAGAAAGAAGGAAGGGAAGGGAGGAGACAAAGAAACCTGCCTGATGGACTGTTGGGATCCCACCACAAGCTGTTCGACAGAAAACAATCCCACCCTCATAAGGAAGATCCATGCTTGCTAGATACTTAGCTATACCAGTAGGGTTAAAAGTTTACTTTTTTAAAGTGTTCATTGGAACGCAGTTTAAGGAGTCCCTACCAAGAGATGAAAATACTGCCCTAGGTAATAGTCACTAAACATGTGCTTTTGACAGCATGATGGTGTTAAGGTATAAAACCCCTGCTGCACAGGGTGGGAGAGAACCTATACTGAAGGGGTGGGGGTTCCTGGAGAACACCACATCATCTCCAAAATGCAGTTAGCTGGCCATGGTGCACACCTGTAATCCTAGCACTCGGGAGGCTGAGGCAGGATCACCATGAGTTCAAGGCCTGCCTGGGCTACTGAACTACTGCCTCAAAACAAGCACACACACAAAAAATACAAGTTAGATGCATCTAGCTCAGAGGATTGGTAATATAGGAATATGTAAAACAATAGTGAAATGATGTAAAATTTGTGTAGATTACTTGAAAGCTATAAAGCTAATCAGGATGAGAGGAGAAGAGGAAGTAAAAAGAATTAAGATATGTTATATGCATGTACCAACTCCCCATGATGAATGTAATCATTATGTACTACAAACATGTACTAGTAAAAAAGACCAAAAAGAGTTAATAAAATTGGAGTGCTCCTATAAGCGAGAAGGGAATATTGGTTGACCATTGAGCTTACTGAGATATAATTGGGAACTCTGTAATATATATTTATTAAATATTTAATCAAATGACAGTCTTTTAAATCAATTTCATCTTGAGAAGGCCCATATATAAAATTGTTCTTAAGGTGCATTTTTATATATTAAAAGTGTTTGTAAAAATTAAGTCATTTGAACATTCAGGTCATTTGAATATTCTTATTTGAGAATACTGAAATTTTTTTTTTTTTTTTTACCTTTCAGCACATTTGTGTGTCCAACTGAAATTATCGCTTTTGGTGACAGAATTGAAGAATTCAGATCCATAAATACTGAAGTGGTAGCATGTTCTGTTGATTCACAATTCACTCATTTGGCCTGGTCAGTATTTTGTACTTAAATTTGTAGCAAAAAGATAAATGTATTTCCTTCTAAATTGTGGGCAGATAAACATGATAATGCCATTTATCAGACAGTTGGGGAATAGATTTATCTGAGAGCAATATAGTGAGCTGATAGTTCAATGTAGTTATGGTAAAAATGTTAAGAATTGTATCCATCCTTGCAAAATTAGGGAGGAGGGCCAGGGATTTAGCTCAGTGGTTCTGGCACCTGCCTCACAAACGCAGGGTCCCAAGTTCGATTCCCGGTACCAAAAACAAAAAAAATTAGGGAGGAAAGTTAAATATAGGGATGTGATTTCCATAGCAAAAACTACTAGATTATATGATTACTTTGTTATGATCATTTGAGTAATCTTTATCTTTATCTGGAGGAAAAAAATCTTTAAAATATAGCATTTTTCTTCTCTGCAGTTCTTGAGTATGATAAGTCAAAATCATAATACCTTCTATACTTTTCAAAAAGGAATAATTTTAGCCAGGGATTTAGCTCAGTGGTTTCGCCACCTGCTGTGCAAGCGCAAGGACCTGAGTTCAATCCCCTGTACCAAAAAAAAAAAAAAGGAATAATTTTAGAAAGTAATTCTTTTAAATTCATTAGTCATGAAAAATTTTTTTCACCTAGTTACTTACAAAGAATTGCAAATCAAATGACAAAAGATGCCATTTCTCGCTGTCTAATTGGCCAAGATTTGAAAGATTGAAGAGGAAGTAAAAAGAATTGAGATGTGGGCCGGGGATTTAGCTCAGTGGTGCCACCACCTGCCTCACAAGTGCAAGAACCGGAGTTTGATTCCTGGTACCAAAAAAAAAAGAATTGAGATTTGTTATGTACGTGTACCAACTTCCCACGATGAATTTAATCATTGCATACTGCAAATATGTACTCATAAAAATTTTTTAAATTTCGTTAAATTGAAAAACTACATCGAATATTGGCAAAAGTATGAAGAATGGCACTTATGCACAGTGATTCAGCATTTCAGGAGAGCAGCAAGATGTCTCAAAATTTAAAACACACATGTATGTGTAAGCACAATTTTTTGCTCATAATTTTGTGTAACAGAGATCATTCAGAATTCTTTTGGATTTAAAGTTTAATGTTCAATTCATTAAAGTTACAAATTCAAGGGCCGAGGATTTAGCTCAGTGGTTTCACCACCTGCTACGCAAGCACAAGGACCTGAGTTCGATCCCCAGTACCAAAAAAAAAAGTTACAAATTCAAAATACAAATTTTTCTCCACATATTATTACATATACACATACATACACATGTATAAGTATATATAAAAAATTTTAATTGGGGCCAGGGATTTAGTTCAGTGGCACTGCGCCTGCCTTGCAAGCATAAGGTCCAGAGTTCGATCCCTGGTACAAAAAGAAAAAAAATTATAATTGATTAGGGGCTGCAATTTCATTATTGTTCCTTAAGAAATTAATTACTGGACAGGGAATGTAGCTCAGTAGTAAAGCACTTGCCTGGCAGACACAAGGCCCCAGGGTTCAATCCCAAGCACCACACACACAAGAAAGAGTTAATTCCCTTTTCTCAGTTTTCAGCTGGCATGGTGGTGCATGCCTGTAATGCCAGCACTTTGGTAGGCTGAGGCAAGAGGATCTCAAGTTCAAGCCCAGCATGGGCAACTTAGCAATTTAGCAAGATCCTATCTCAAAATAAAAAGTAATGTACAAGAATTTCAGGGATGATCTAACCCCAGTACTCCTTAAACTCTTCAATGAAATCAAGAGAAGTACTCACAAAGCCATTCCTGGAAGCTAGCATTACCCTGATTCCAAAACCAGAAAAGGACACAAAGAAAAAAGAGAACTACAGCCCAATCTCTTTAATGAACATAGACACAAAAATCCTCAACAAGATACTGGCAAACAATGCAGCACATCATCAGAAAGATCATACATCATGACCAAGTAGGATTCACCCCGTGGATGGAGAGATGCTTCAACATACACAAATCAATAACTGATAAATCACATAAACAGAAGGACAAAAATCACATGATCATCTCAATAGATACAGAAAAGGCCTTTGATAAAACCCAGCATCCATTCATTATAAAAACTCTGAAGAAAAGAAATGTAAAAGGACCTTATCTCAATCTGATAAACCATTTAAGACAAACCTGCTGTCAATATCATTAAGTGGGGAGAAGCTAAAAGCTTTCCCTCTAAAATCAGGAACAAGACCACCACTCCTGTTCAATATAGTTTTCAAAACATTAACCAGAGCAATCAGACAAGAAAAAGAAATAAAAGGGATATGTATAAGAAAGGAAAATTAAATTTTCATTATTTGCAAATGACATGATCCTCTCCATACAAGGCCCAAAACATTCCCTCAAAAGACTCCTAGAATTAAAAACCAAATGTAATAGGTGTTTTAGTTACCTTTCTCATTGATGAAACAAAATACCCAATGCTCATAGTTAAGGGAGGAAAGGTTTACTTGACTCAGAGTCTATAGAGGTTTCAGTCCATAATCAGCTGCTCCAAGGCAGGGTGGCATGGCAGACAAGCATTGTTCATGGCGGGTAGAAGATAGCAAAGCAAGGGACAAGACAAGCTTCCTTCTGTCCCTTATATTGTATGCAGGCTACCCACCCTAGGACATGTGTAGCACTCATATTTTTAATCCTAGCCAGAACTTTGCCAAACCAATCAGTGGACTGATTTAATAATCACACACCCTTGATCCCAGCACCACACACTCTAGATTCAGCCACCTCTGAAAAGTGCCAACAAGTCATAACAGTATGGTAACAGAATGCAAAAATCAACACAAAAGTCAATAGCATTCCTGCACATCAGTAATAAACTCACTGGGCCAGGCGTGGTGGGGTACACCTGTAATCCCAACACTCAGAAGGCTGAGGCAGGAGGATTGCTGTAAGTTCAAGGCCAGCCCGAATTACAAAGCAAGACCCTGTCTCAAACAATAAAAATAAACTCTTAAAAAAAGATTGGGGAAACACTGTCTTTCACAGTAGCATCAAGAAAAATGCAGTAAAACCTTGGTTTACAAGAATAATTTGTTCCATTCATAATCCAAAGCAGCAAGAAGCCAGGTGTGGTGGTGCACACCTGTCATCTTAGCACTTGGGAGGCTGAGACAGGAGGATCACTGCATGTTCTAGGCCAACCTGGACTACATAGTGAGTTCAAGGCCAGTCTGAACTGCATAGTGAGACTCTGACTCAAAAAAAAAAAAAGCAGAGAGAAAGAGAAGAACCAGTTGTGATCATGTGACTTTCAGTGTGCCGTACTACTCTTATTGTAATACATTACTCATTTATCAAGTTAGAATTTATTAGAAATGCGTGCTTATCTTCTGGAACACTCGCGGAACAAGTTACTCGTAATCTAAGGTTTGACTATACTTAGAAATTAACCTAACCAAAAAAGTGAAAGACCTCTACAACCAAAACTGCTCAAAAAAAAAAAAATGAGGACATCAGAAAATGGAAAGATATCCCCTGTTTCTGGATAGGCAGAACAAATATTGTCAAAATGGCCATACTCCCAAAACTTACAAACAGATTTAATGCAGTGCCAATCAAAATACCAACAGCAAGCCGGGTGTGGTGGCGCATGCCTGTAATCCCAGCATTTGGGGGCTGAAGCAGGAGGATCACCTGAGTTTGAGGCCAGCCTGGACTACATAGCGAGACCCTGTCTCAAAAAACAAAAAAATAAGCCAGGGATTTAGCTCAGTTGTCTCACTGCCTGCTGCGCAAGTGCAAGAAACCGAGTTCGATCCCCAGTACCAAAAAAAAAAAAAAAAAAAAAAATATATATATATATATATATATAGAGAGAGAGAGAGAGAGAGAGAGAGAGAGAGTGCGCTAAATAAAAGGTGAGAATAGGAAATAGCTAAATAGATCTTTTGCATATGGAAAAGGGACCAAGAGATGAAGGAGATGAGAAAAGAATTAAGATGCGTTATGTACATGACCAGCTCTCCATGAAGAATGTGATCATTACATAGTACAAATATGTGCTCAGAAAAAAATAACAAAGTAAAAATAAATAAATTAAGAGTATGAAAAGGGCTGGGGATGTAGCTCAACGCAAAGGACCTGGGTTCAATCCCCAGGACCAGCACCGCCCCCCAAGAAAAAGAAAGTATCTCAATTTTCAGACAAACCTTTTCAAGCACTTAACTAATTCCATTAAGACAAAATCTCCTGAATGTTAAAAGTAACTTAACATATAAATATTGACTGATTAGTTCTTAATACAAAAAATATTAAACCTAGGCTTGTTTGTATAACCATTCCTACCGTGATTCTAAATCTTCCTAGGGTTAAAACATGGCTGTAGGAAAAACTGGATCATCTCAGATAATTTGGGATCACTTTCCCAAGAGAATCTGGGGCTGTGTTCTCAGCCAGATAGGTTTCATACCACTCAAGACTTCGACGTCTTGGTGGAACTGGGGCCGCAGACATCTGGGACAGGATTGCCTTGGTCTCTTGGTGCCGTGTCATTGCCCTCCTGTTAGGACCTCAGCCCATGAGCTCTGTGGCCTCAACTTAACAAAGCACTTCATTCTGAGGATGGCGACTATCTTTCTCCACCTCTTCCTGAGGACACTGCATTGCTTTGCCTCAAGGCTTCTGATCACATTTCTGAGGTTATGTTTGTGACAGTGTGTATCTCGTGATCTGTCAAGTCCATTTCTAGAAATTAATCAGGCAAACATACAAAGATGAGAATACAAGGATGTCTCCATGAAACAGTTTACTGTCTTATCAGTAGAGATTTGTAAAATACAGTATGTCCATTCATCAAAAATGGGTTTTACACACCAATATTTAGTGTTTGAAATGAACATATTGTTAAATGGGGAAAAGACAATAGTAAGCAATTAGCCTGATGATGTTAGAGAAGGAATGTATATATTGAATGTGTGTTCACATATGTGCGCGTGCAAAGAAAGACTGCTTGCTGTTTGAATGCGTGCTGTGTACTCAGCTCTGAGAAGAAAGCGTTCTGTGTTACAGGATTAATACTCCTCGGAGACAAGGAGGCCTGGGGTCGATAAGGATTCCACTTCTTTCAGACCTGAACCATCAGATCTCAAAGGACTATGGTGTCTACCTAGAGGACGCAGGCCACACTCTGAGGTCCTTTTCTGTAGTTTATATTATGAAAAACCCAAGTACATCTATAATCCTCTGGAACTGGATGTTGTTTATAAGTTAGAAGATACAAATTTTGAACAAGTATTTGCTCCGCTTGGCAGAAATGTTGTAGATGTTCTTTAAAATAACCAGCGGGTGCTCTAAACTACATTATTGGAGCTGGAAGGTTATTTAGAGGTCTTTGTCTGACCCTATCTTTTTCCAGATAAAAGATATAGATGCCGAGCCAGGCATGGTAGCACATGCCTGTAATTCCAGCACTCGAGAGGCTGAGGCAGGATGTCACTTAAGAGGCTGAGGCCTGCCTGGGCTACATAGTGAGTTCAAGGCCAGCCTCAACTATATAGTGAGACCTTGTCTCAAAAAACCAAAAAAAAAAAAATTTAAATAAGCCAAAATAATAATAATCATACATACATACATATAAATATCATAATACTTAACAAACCTGTGTCTTTGGGATGGGAAAAATTAAAGTCATATCTTTTGGGGGGAGGTGTTGAGACAGGGTTTGCTATGTAGTTGAGGCTGGCCTTGGACTCACTGTGTAGCCTAGGCTGGCCTGAAACTCGTGACACTCTCCTGCCTCCGCCTCCCGAGTGCAGGCTTGACAGGTGTGCACCACCACACCCAGCTAAAGCAATATTTTAACCAGCAGCTCTCACTGGGTTATTTGAGCTAACACATGCCAACATCATTCTTTGAAAAAGGGTAGTTTTAGCCTAAAAGGGTGGTAGTTTTGTTATTTTTACATTGCTAATTTACTCTGCAGTGCCAGTAACATGTTTCATGTGAAAGTGTTAGTTTTTTAAATCCTGTTTTTATAACTCGTTTATTCAGTTACAATTCACATACCATACAGTTCACCCATTTAAAGAATACAATTCAGTGCTTTTTAGTACATTCACAGGGTTGTGCAACCATCACCAGAATTTTAGAACATTTTCATTACTCCAGAAAGAAGCCCTGTACCCATTAGCAGTCCCTCCTTATTCCCCTCAGCCCTGGGCAGCTATTCATCTACTCGGAGGCTGCGTGGTTGCCCGGTGTGGACGGTTCATGTAAGTGGAAGCCTGCAGTACGTGCTCTTTGGTTGTCAGCCTCTTCACTCAGCACATTCTCAAGGCCCATCCGTCCTGTATCATGCCGCATTGTCCCAGTTTCTCTCCTTTGTACCTGCCAGGTCCCTAAGGTTTTCTGCTTTCATAAAGTATTACTAGGTTAATTCCCAAAGAGTAAGTATGTCACTAAAAAGACTGAGGCAGTTTTAAAATGTGGAATTATTTGAACATTGACCAAGTAAAATTAATACTGTTTTTAGCTATTTTACCCTTACTTGAATCAAGTTTCTTTTTTAAATTGTTTTCGTTTCCAAAGTGATATACGCACATCGTTGTTTCAAGTCATATAATCCTAAGCAACCATAAATGCTAAGGTACATTTCATAGCCAAAATCAATTTGAAAGCTACCTTTTAACAGTGATAATCCCAAATCCCACAGTAGATGGAGGAGGAGGTACATACATGTCCACGAGTGTGTACTGATAAATAGGGAGCGAGCTGTTGGTCCTGTATAGCATCCTTCCGTGTGGATGGTACAGGTAGTCACATTAACTAATACTTGTCTTAACTGAGAAGCAGTGGCCTCACGTCTGCCCTTCTTGTGTTTCACAGAGGCCTCTTTATTATTGATGACAAAGGAATCCTGAGACAGATTACTCTGAATGACCTTCCTGTGGGCAGATCGGTGGACGAGACCCTACGTTTGGTTCAGGCATTCCAATACACCGACAAACACGGAGAAGGTATCCTGCCACTTCTTAGTGTGGGAGATAGTAGCGTAGTTCATTTGGTTTCTTATCCTGAAGATAATTTGGAAGGTTCCAAAGACTTTTGACTATTTTCAATTTATTAGATCCTTTTAGCAAACCAAAGTATTATTTAAAGTGCTTTCAACAATATATCACTATTCTCCTTCCTGGATAAGAAGTAAAAATACTTAGTATTTACATAGTCATTTTGGATAAACTCAAAGAGAAAAGTCTATGCTACTACAATTTTTCAAACCATGTTTCTGTAAACTTAAAATGTGCCGCTATGGCACATGTTACTGATGTAGCTTTCATTCGCACATTTACATTACTGGATTTGGCTCTTTAAGTAATGTAACCCTTGTGGTTATTCAGTTTCACACTGGTAATCTATGAATTTATCCTTTTACTCCAAGTTTTATCAGTGGCTAAATAGAAAAAGTGAGATTTTGCTAAAATAGAACATGTTATGTACACCTTTTAAATATGTGGCTCAAGGGCTGGGGATTTAGCTGAGCGGCACAGCGCCTGCCTCGCAAGCACAAGGTCCTGAGTTCGATCCCCGGTACAATAAATAAATAAATAAATAAATATGTGACTCAGTACCTGAGTCGGTGTGTCCCGCAGTCTCTGGACAGAAGAGCATGGTTATCAGTGCACGGCGCTGCAGGACAGGAGACAGACATGCTTACTGGAAGTGTGTGTCAGTTTAGAGGAGCCGTTGCCATCCCTTTTCAGCTCACCAGATGACCAAACTTTCCAACTTTGTCAGAGAAGAATTCCACTTCGTTTCTTATATTGAAAGTGTATCTATAAATAAATTAAAGAGCAAAATAATACATAGATAATAGAAAATAGGGAGATAGCTCTTTCACAAAAGGGAAGGGGACCAAAAGAAGGAGGGAAAGGAGGCAGAGGGGGAGGGAAGGGGATGAAAAAAGGATTAAGATGTGTTGTGTACATGCACCAAATCCCCCTGAGGAATGTAAATATTATTCACTGCAAACATGGGCTGATAAAAATTTTAAAAATAAAAATGTAACTAAGCCTAATTGGTAAAAATGGAAATAGATTACCTGCCTACCAGTCAGCTCCACGACTAAAATTTCCTAGTGTGAACAGCTAAGCTAACAGAAGGCAAGTGCTAGCCAAGCACAATGACTCGTGCCTGTAATCCCAGCACCGTGGGAGGCTGAGGCAGGAAGATTACAAGTTCGAGCCCAGCCTAAGCAATTTAGGGAGACCTTATCGCTAAATAAAAAGAGGGGGTGGTGCAAGAGATGTAGCTCAGTACAGAGGCCCTAGGTTCGGTCTCCAGTGCCAAAAAAAAAGTCAAGTGCTTGATGGTCTGGAAATATTAATATATTCTATTTCAGTTTAATATAGAAACAAAAAGTTTAAGAATTGTGTGTTAGGTACTTTTCTCAGGCAAAATACCCAACATCCAAAGTTAAAGGGGAAAGAGTTTATTAAGCTCACGGTTTGTGGAGGTTTCAGTCCATAATCAGCTGGCTCTAACGCAGAGTGGCACATGGCAGAGGGGCATCACAGAGGAAAAACAGTTCATGGTGCCCACATGGTAGCAAAAGCAACAAGGGAACCTTAACAGCATCTTTCTCCCCTTTTATCTCATCCAGACTACTAGTGCCCTTGAGCCTAGCATTGCATCATGAATCAATTCCAGCATCACACACTAGATCAAGCCACCTGTAAAAAGCCTCTGACCACATGAGGCTTTGTGGGGGACATCTAGATACAAATTGCTAAAGAAAGAAACTAAATTCTGTTGTTAAACTGTCTTTTCCATTTTTGCTCCTTTAGTCTGCCCTGCTGGCTGGAAACCTGGTAGTGAAACAGTAAGTCATATTGATTTTTTTGTTAAGGGCATGGCTAGAGCCCAAAAAGCAATATGCTAACCTTAGGGTAAGCTTTCTGGTCACAGAACTGCCTCGATTTCATAGGTGAAGTAAACATTGCTAAGTAGTCCTAGAGTACAGACGTTCTCTGAACTGGAGGAAGAATATATGAAACTGGAAAACACAGAATATGGGGTTTGGTGCTATGAATTTTAAAACTAAGTGTCCAGAGAAATATACTCTTCCAAAAGACAAAAACAAAAGGCAGAGTGGAGACTTGGTAGAGCAAATTTATTTTATGGAATTTCTTCTGATTTTATGATCTAAGAAAACAATCCTATCCAAAACCTTCCTATATGTAATAAAAAACCTTGGAGAAAATCTGGTTTAAAGAACACTGAAATGATTCTCTCCTTGTCATATGAAGAAAGAAAACACTGAAACAGGTACACTATTTTAGGATGGCTGTATGATTTATAAACAATCTCTAAAGTAGTCTCTGGCCAAAATGCAGTTTGGAAACTTGCTTAAATATCTTTAAATTGTTATCTTCTAAAATCAAAAGTTTTAGCCAGGTGTGGTGGCGCACACCTGTGATCCCAGCACTCGGGAGGTTGTGGCAGGAGGAACTCTGAATTCAAAACTGGCCTGGGCTACATAGGGAGACCCTGACTCAGTATGTTATACATTAACATTATACATTAGTTAATGTATAACATAATCTGAAGTCAAGTCATATTAGAAATATTATTTTAAGTCTGAAGTTTCTAAGGCTATGATGCTCTTAGGAGCACTTTTCAGCATATTCATTCACTAGTTATTAAAGATAATAGCATTTTTGAATTCTTGATTTTGGGGTTTGTTTTTTTTTTAATTTGAAGCTTGCGATTAAAAAGTTGCACTCCAGACCTTCAAAACTTCATTTGCTGCCCTCTGAGTGAACACAGTGCCCTCTCTTCAGGCTGTTGTGGCATACCATCATTTAATCTGCAAATGATTTTCCAAATACATTAACATCTGTACCCATGCTCTCAATGTGTTTGATTTAACTAGATCAAACCTGAAGATGCCATGAAAGCCTGGTGGCCAAGAGAAGAGCTGTAAGTAAGTTTTGCGGCACTTGAGTACAGATGTTAATTTATTAAAATTATTTGCATTTTGGGGTCATTGAGATTAGTAGGTAGGACAGATACAGTTTTGTCGAGAAATGGGCAACTAATGCTAGACTACTAGTGATGTACTTTGGCTTTTGAAATGAATAATTTGGTTTTTTCTTATTTTTGTTTTTAACAGATAATTCCAGATCCAGCTGGCAAACTGAAGTATTTCGACAAACAAAATTGAAAAATACTTCAAGTTACAAGGCTTCAAGGTTCTCAATAAAGGTCACTGTTTCATTGCATTACAGTATTAATTTCTTGGAGAATATAAAAAAATCCATGTCACACTCCAAAGATATGTACTGTTAAGGGTAGACAGTGATACCAAAAGACAAGAAATGGCAGATTAGATCAAACTGGTAATGAGGATAATAACTGACACTTACGAAGTGTACACCATGGGCCAGGCTTTGGATTAAACAAGTTGGATGCAGTTCCATTTGGTCCTCAAGAAACACTAGGTGTTCTCAGTTGTAGAGACAAGGAAACAAGCTCAGGTAAGCAGCTAGCAAAGGCAAAAGCAGACGGAACACAGACAGGATCATTCTAGTTTCTGAGCTCGTCACACCCTAGTGATTCACCTCTCCATACCTTTCAGGGTGGCGGTGAAGAACAGGTTGTGACTCCATAGCTCACTGCTTTGTAATAAAAAAGCTCTCTGGCCCCTCTTCAGATTTGCATATTTAACTTGCACCAAATTTCTAAGTATCAGGTTGTGTGTTTGTTTTTAGTTTAAGAAATAGAAGGTGAGCCCCTGGGTACATATAGCTAGCTCTTAACATATGACCACACCCAAAGCAGAACTCCAGTGCTCCACCGTCATCCCAAAATGGCAGTTATTTTATTGTAATCATCCATAGATAGGCCATATAGTCAAATACCAGGAGAATTTACCTCGTCCTGTCTTTCCCTAATCCCCTCTCCTAGTACTCACAAAAGCTCTTCTTCCTGGGGGAGCCAGTCGCTAGAAATGGTGGGATACTACTCGCTTCCTTGATGAAACAATCCTGAGATATAGCAGGTGATCAGTGACAGGCATTTGTGGGTGGACACAGGGATCCCACTGCCATTTATAACCTTTTTCTACAACAAATGCTAGTTAACAGTCAAGATTTTAGAAACCAACCTATTAGTAAAGTTGAAGACTGCTACTACTTTGATGTTTACACAGTTTGTGATAATCTTTTTTTTTTCAATCAATACATTGGAGTTGGGATCCTGTTCTCAGATTTTTTCTTTCTGATTTGAAAACTACAGATTCTCTTCCTCAAAGAACCTGTATCATCTTGATTAATAGTGTCTTTAGAGTCATTTCACCCTCCTGTTAATTTGAGGTAGATTTACAAGGACAGTATTTTTAGATCCACTCCAGAGGAAGCCAGTCATTAATGTTTTGGCTCTCAGCAACTATCAGTCACCTATTCTAAATGCCTGGCATACATTAGTGACCAAGTGCCAAATTTCTGCCCTCAAGGAGCTTAGTATTTGATTACTGAAACAGGTGCTGATAATGTAGTGATTTCTTGATAACTACAGATGAAAATGCACCCAGGCCTACTACTTTTCATATTAACTGGGTGGTATAAGCAGCCTGTGAGTAGAAGTACTTAATGCACCCCTTTTCTGTGCCTGGGATTCGGCCTCTGGGACATGCACATGGCACTGGCTAGAGATGTTCTTAGTTGTCAAAACTGTGGAAGGGTTGGGGGTGTCACTCAGTGGGAAAGCTCGTACTTAGCATGCATGAGGCTCTGAGATTGATCCCCAGCACCAAAAAAGAAAAATATTATTGGCATCTAGCACAGGTGCTGCTAAACATCCTACAGTACACAGGACAGTCCCACAACAAAAAATAAATGGCTTTAAAAAACAAATGGTGAGGTTGAGAAACCTTCCCTAGAGACAGCTGCCAACAGATGAAGGGAAAGTGGGAAAATGGTAGTGTTCAGTAGCTGCCTGTGCAGCATGAGGTCAAAATGCCACGAGTAGGAGCTTATCCATAGCAACAGGTGAAGAGATGACCTGAAGCTTCTGTAGAGCACATCAGGCACTGTCCTTCCGGTGCACTAACATAAATGTCTATTCTTCCAGCTTCTCCCCTAGATTTTGGGTCTTCGGTTGAGTACTTCCCAATTAAGCACTGAAAGTTCTGAATTTCCCATGAGCATAGTGGGATGCTTTTTAAGAAATTCTGTAGTTTCCAGGCTATCAAGCAAGAGATTGTTCCCCACATCCTACCTCCACCCCATCATCTCTGCCCAAAGGCACAGCTGACCCTACATCCTAAACTTCCCATCTATCAGTAGACTTTCAGGTTGGATATTGTTCTCAAACATTAACCACTATTTTATTAATGATACGTTCATATCCTAACCCCCAATATATTTTGTTACCTATAAACTGTACGACAATACTATTGAGGTAGGGTAGAAGAAATAAGTAGATAGAAAGGCAAGGTTGTACTTTTAAGAAGACTACAACTTCTGGGACCCAGTCAAAATCATTCAAAGCAACCCATAGCAGCATTCCTTTGGTTAAATTTAGGCTCCTTTCTGTCCAGACTCCATCAAATTCCTCAGGAATACTGAAAGGCTATAAATTGGCCTACATTGGGAAAGTAAAGAGCAGTAAGCTAAGACAAAGGAATAGGCTGAGAGATTCAATGAATGTTTTGATTACCTATCAAAAAGAATTAAAAACTGGGCCCTTACCTGTAAAACGGCCTAGCACCTGTCTGGGGGTTGAGTCACGTTTTCTCAGGGTTTCCACCCACTCAAGAGCGCATAAATATCCCTACTCTAGGAAATAAGGGCTCCCCCTTCCTATCTCTCTCCCATACTCCATTTCCTTGTGTGTACTAAAATTTCTGTCTAATAAACCCTCGGCCTCTTCCTGATGTGTGCTGAAAATTCTTCTTCTGCAACAGGAGTCAGAACCTGCAATCTTGTTCCACAGGGGAGTGGGTTAGGTTCCTTATCACAGCTCTAATGCTCTCCTTAGACCCTGTTCAGTGACATTTTGTCCTGAAATATCTTCTTTTCTTTTCTCTTGGAGGGTGCTGCAGCTAGAACCCGAGGCATCATACATGCTAGGCAAACATTTTACTACTAAAGTATCACCCTGGCCCTCTGAAATATCTTTGAGTGTTTTAATATATAAAATGTAATGAAATATATGTTTCAGGTAAATAGCTCCATAAAGGTCTGTGTCAAGGGGAGAATATATATATATGTGTGTATTTATATGTATACATACATGTTCATACATTCACACACATGAACATACCTAGCTTTTAAAAAGGAAAGAAAATTGTTCATCATAGTTAATATGTATGTATTTTATAAATAGCAAAGCAACTTTTACCAATATCACTACAAACAATATAATTTTGGCGCAATATTGTACGTTTATGTAAAATGTTAAAAAAACACATTTTAGGGCCAGGCATAGTGGTGCATGCCTGTAATCCCAGCACTCCAGAGGCTGAGGCAGAAGGATCATCACGAGTTTGTGGCCAGGCTACATAGTGAGTTAGAGGTCAGCCTGAACTACATTACATAGCGAGACTCTGATTCAAAAAACAAAAAAAAATTGGGGCTGGGGATTTAGCTCAGTGGTTCTGCCACCTGCCTTGCAAGTGCAAGGACCCGAGTTCCATCACCGGTACCAAAAAAAAAAACACAAAAAAATCATTTTAAAAGATACCTTTCTGAAGCTTAAGCTTGCAATTTTTTTCCAATACTGGATTGAACCTAGTGCTTTTGCTAGCCACATCCCTAGCCTGTTTTTATTTTGAGACAGGGTCTCTTTAAGTTGCTAAATTGCCCAGGCTGGGCTCGAACAAGTCCTTCTGCCTCAGCCTCCTAAAGTACTGGAAATACAGATGGACACCATGTATGGTTCCAAACTTACAATGTTTTTATTTAAAATTCCAGCCAGGTAGAGTGGTGTATACCTGCAATCCCAGCATTTGTGAGGTTAAGGCAGGAGAATCTCAAATTCGAAGCCACCCTGGGTTACATAGTGAGTTCCAGGACATCCTGTCTCAAAAACCCAAAAGAAAAACAATTCAAATGCTAAATCAGACACCCATATTCACCCAAGTCACACATTTGTTCTACAGAAATTATTACCTACACATGTGTAAGATACTTTGCTAGCTAATATTTTTTAAATATGACAACTGCAAAGAGCCTACAGACTCATAAATGATATCAGTATGTAAAAAAGGAATTGCAATACAGTGTGATAAGCTCTGTGGAGACTCCAGAGCATGAACAAGAAGGCAAGACAGGGAGGATGGAAGGCATCACAGGAGGGAAGATATACACCCATTTCCTGTTATGGTTTACGTCTAGATGTCCCCCAAACCCTCATGAGCTCATAGGTGAGGCTTCTGGGAGGTGCCTGGATCATGGGTGTGTGATACTCTAGTGGAGTAGTTCACTGATGAGGTTATAGCTAAATGAGATGCTGGGAGGTGAAGCCTAGTTGGAGGAGGTGGTCACTGGGGGCGTGGCCTGAAAGCATCTCTCTCCCTCCTCCTCCCTTGATCTCTCTCTGCTTCCCACTGCCATGGCATGAGCTGTTTCTCCTCTGCCCTGCCCCTTTGCAATGCTGCCCTGCCTTGGAGCCTGGACTGAAACCTCTACAAACTGAGCCAAAATAAACCTCTCCTCCTTTAATTTGCCAGTCTCTTGTACTGTGTCTCAGCAATGAGAAAGTACCTAAGACACTATTTCTCCACCGGAGACCACATCTCCTGAGAGCACAGTAGTCCTTACAAAAAAAGACAGTATAGTAGCCCCCACCCCATCCATGGTTTGCTTTCTGAGGTTTCAGTTACCCTCAGTCAACCGCAGTCCAAAAAATATTAAATGAGAAATTGCAGAAATAAATGATTTATGAGCTTTAAACTACCCCATTCTGACCAGTGAGATTGAATCCCATGCCACCCACTCCATCCCATCTGGGACATGGGTCATCCCTTGTCCAGTTCCCATGCTGTACACATGACCTTCCTGTCAAGCACTTAGCCACCTCCATTCTCGGATTGACTGCTGAGATACTGGGTTCGCAGCCCTTGTGTTAGAGTGACCCCTAGGAAGTGGCCTAGCACTGTCACAGTGCCTACTTCATTCACTTCATCTCACCACGTAGGCACTGTACCATGTCACACTGTCACAATACGAACAAGGGTGAGTCCAATAAGATATATTGAGAGAA